GATATATGAAATTAAGTTTTAGATTTCTATTCCTAATACTTCAAAACTGAACTGTGTCTCGTGGATGCACACAAACCATTATATTGTAGTCGGTGGCCAAGGAGGGGTTTTAAAAGTTATTAAACTTTCAGAAGACTGCGGTAAGTATAGTCTTCAAAATATTCTGTTTTTTAAAAGCTAGTAATTCTAACAAAACGAATTTGCATTTAAACCAAATACTGATGGCAAATAAATAATACAGTTACATTATACTCTTGTAAGTTTTCGTAGCATTAAATTTCTTCCTTCTTATTAACACTTTCTTTAGAATCTCAGCCGCCATCTACGCCTTTAACATTTGCTGTAAACCAAAATTTAGAGGGTCATGGAGGTACATTTTTTGCCATTACTTAGCTAACTGGTCTATTTCTTTATCCATTATGCATTCAGTCAAAACCTTACCTTTTTCTAAAAACTAAATAATTTTGCAATAAATTTAACACCTAACTTAGGTCGAACATCCTGACTGAAATGTTAAAGCTGTCTGTTTACAGGCAACGTAGAAAGAGCGGTGTGGAACGAAACGTATCAAAAGTTGACCTCGAGTGATAGCAATGGATTAATTATTGTCTGGTTGGTTCAAAAAGAAAGCTGGTTTGAAGAGATGATAAATAACCGAAATAAATCTAGAGTAGTGGGCATGGCATGGAACTCATTTGGTACAAAAATTGCAATAGCGTACGAAGACGGTACTAAAATCTAAATTTGCGTTTTATCTTCGTGCTGTTATATTCTAAAGTGGCGTAAAACTATTTAGGAATTGTTGTTATTGGTGCCGTTGAAGGCCATGGTCTTTGGACAAAAACGATCGAGCCTGATCTTTGTGCAGTCTGTGTAAGTTAATTTGACTTCTTTTTGCTCCATACCTGACACAAATAAATGTTTTTTTATCTGTTTAGTTACATTAAAAAATTAAGTATTGTTTATGGGATGTATTTCGCAAGTATGTATAAACTGTAAATGATTTTCGATTTGGTTATAATTTACAAAAAAATTTAGTGGTCGTCAGATTCGACATTGCTGCTATTTGGACTTAAAAGCGGTAAAGTGTATGCTTACAATGCCAATGGAGATCTATTGCATCAGTTGCACACCCCTGAAGTCGAAAACGCTGAAGCAGATCCTTCTTCTGACCGTGACATTTAAGACTTCTTTCTTAACCTTTTTGTTCTTAAAACTGCTATTAAAGTTTAAAAGTTAATTAAATTTTTACCAGTAAAGTTGCTAGTAATTTAGAGAATGGTAAAAAACAATTAGTCATTGTGTCAATGCAGTGGTATGCCAATGTTATGGTGGAAGCCCCATCAAATAAGCAGCCGGCAAACAAACGTTTATTTTAGTTTTTTTCAACAAGAATTTTCCACTTATACATTTCAGTAACTGTTTTTTTTTTTTTT